GATCGGTCAAAGACTTGCTTCGATCAGGGCATTGAATCTTCTGGATCAGAGACACTCAGTGTCTTAATCACCAGAAGAGAGCGTCCGATCAGGCAAGGTCCAGCCGCGATCCAAGGAGTAAAGCTCCTAATCGTCTTGTGTTATTACGCTCAATTAGCTAACAGAAGAAAGGTTTATGGTCTGATCTGGCTAAAAGGTAGGTCTGAAAAGGAAAGGAAAAGGTTTGTTGATGTTCTATCTATGTGATCGGTCTCCCTTATATGGGCTCTTTACTCGATCGGACTAACTACCTTTTGCTTTGGCGCGTCTTCACACCTCTAATCAGCTTAAATCAATCTCTGAATTGCCCCGCCCTATTCCAATATTGTTTACAGTCGCTGAAATTATGCTGTATTTAAAATTGAGACATCAGAACGCTTCTATATCTAGATGGATGTCCGGACAATTGTAATTAATACCGTATTCGTCCCTGTGACAAGCTACATGGTCCCCATTCGGTCTCTGACAGGATGGTTAGAGACGCGATTCAACCGCCGCCCTAGATAGACAGGAGCAGTGATGGACCGGTGGTGCTTATCCTCCTTCTAGATTCGGCTGCCTGCGTGCGTAAGAGGAAGGTTGGCTCATCACTGCATGCAAGGTAGTAAATAACCTGAAGCGTGACTAAATGACCTCTTCATTCGATTTATTTGGCCATGCGAGAGGTGGCCAACTCGGCTACTCCATATAGTCTCTGTTCCTACGGAGTAATAGCTAGGCATGAGCATTCAAACCTGGGCACATCATACCCATGCCTATGTACTGCGGGCCATAACTAATTAATCAGTCCTAGCGGGTCAAAGATGAGGAATGGCCGGTGGCCTTGATGCCTTTACTAGTTACCCGGAGGTAGTTCAATTAGAAAGGGCCTTGCCCCCAAGAACACCTGGAATTTCTCTAAACACACACCGATGAGTACATGTATGTACTTGTACCCTGCAAATTTGCTGCTCCCATGCAGACTGGCGGGTACGGCGGCACAAGGTGGTTAGGCACCCCCCTGCTGCGTCTAGTATGGCGCATTTCACTTGTACGGAGACATAGCGTTCCGTACACGCTTTCCAACACACGTGAGCATCTTCCCCATAGGTCCTCCAAGGTCGTGGGTGCCAGCGATGCTCTGGCATCTCAAGGGAGGAAGATTCCGGGTCAGCCTGTCATTCTGGTCATGGTGTTCACTGGCCAAGGAGCACAATGGCCCCGGATGGGCCGTGAGCTACTCCAGCGTGAGGACCTTGTCTTCCAGAAAGCCATCAAAACAATGGACGATACCTCGCTGCCCTCTCCAATCCCCCGAAATGGACAGTTGAAAAGGAGTTGTAAAAGTCAGCAAAGGTATCGCGCGTACAGGAAGCAGAGCTCTCGCAACCACTGTGCACAGCCGTCCAAGTTGCCATGGTAGACCTCTTGGAAAGCATTGGCGTCAAGCCTGCGGCCGTTGTTGGCCACAACAGCGGCGAACTTGCTGCTGCCTATACTGCTGGTGCCCTCACGGCAAAGGAAGCCATAATCGGAGCCTACCAGCGTGGACAAGCCGCCAAGCTCCAGAACAGGAAGGGTGCCATGGCTGCCGTTGGCCTTGGTTGGGATGAGGTCGAGCCGTTCCTGAACCAACCACGTATTGTCGTTGCCTGTGAAAACTCTCCCAAGAGTGTTACTCTTTCAGGTGACGCCGAGGAGATTCAAGGCGTTATCAAGCGGATCAAAGACGCGCATCCCGACGTCTACGAAAAGCTGACTACAGAATCATATGAAATGAACAATGCATTTCTTTCAAGCGATTTATATTACTTCTTGCCTTGGCTTAGGAGCCGACCAATCCCGCTTTGACGGACCTCAAACTCTTACGGGCCAGTGTAGGCATGGCACCAATATGTTTTGTAGACCAAAGGCTCTCTAGCTTCCTACTTAGTTTATTATAGTTGAGGGAGTTTTAACATTAATTTAGATGAGTAAAGTACCTAAGGGCTTAGCTTGAGGCCTAGTAAACTGGAGGTAAGAGGTTAGTGATTATATATGTTAGAATAAAGAAGACACTTGAAGCAAGAAAAGCCCCCGATGGCTTCTAGCTCAGCTTGCCCAGCGGTAGCAGAACCTAATAATCCCTACCTAACGACCCCTAATTTCTGACCCTAACCTAACAGGGTTGGGGCCGTTCGAGACAACTACTTTGCGAAGAGAAGATCGCATTCGTCTTATCAAACATATTTAGCAGTACTATTAAGTCAACTACCTCACAGAATGACTGCAAAGAGCCATGTTGCCTATTATTCCGGAATTGAAGCTGCTAACTGGATTTTCTTTATAGCCCAGAAGTTTAAATTGTGATTCTTTCGATATACTGGATCATTTCGTCTTGTACTAACGCCTTGCTTTCAGGATCATATGATTTCTCAACCTTCAAAGCCTGGCTAATCTCCTCTTCGGTAGGAACAGCCTGGCGTTCGTAAGTGACGGGTCCATCCTCTATGGAATGCGGGATAAATGCTGAGAGATTTGTGGTGATTGGTGTTTCAGCTTCCCGAATGCCCATGCCCGCAGGCTCTCCATCTATCATCCAGATTCCGAGCACTGGATAGTGGGATCTGTCTTCTGCATCCTTGAATTGAGGCGGCAAAGCAAGCTCCTGAACCACGTAGCCTTCTTTGCCGTAAGTGTCGTCTGGTGATTCCTGTATCACATTGCCATCGTGCTGCAGGGTGATGCCGCCGCCCTCGCGGGAGAATATTGGCTTCCGCGCGTATTTTGTGAGCGACGTTGGAATATCGGCATCCCCAAAGTACGTTGGCAGGAGCCACTTTGACCGCTCGTCATCCTTGAAGAGGGACCACAGGATAGCGAAGAGCGCCTTGTTGCTCCATAGCATCTTGTATGGCGGCTCGATCCAGATAGTGCCGTCGCTGGAGCCCATGTCAGTGAAAGTTAGCTTTCCGGGGGCTTCTTCGATGATGAACTCCCATGGGTAGAGTTTAAAGACGACGTCAAGATGGTTGCCTTTCATATCAAACAAACGACCGTCTTTCAACGAAATAGCAATTTCCTCCATACTTATGGCTTTGGTATCCCATCCTGCCATTTGACAGGTCTCCATCAGGACCATGGTATTCATAACGTCCTCGCCAGCCGAGTCCGCGTCGCAGGTTGCGAAGTAGACGGTGGGCTTGTAGCCGAGCTTTTCGCTGATAAGCGTCATGTTGCGCTTCCAGGCTTCGACCAGGCATTCGCAAATGTTGTTGTATTGATCGTTTCCACAGCCCGTCTGCTGAAGCCAGAACCATTGTATACACGCGCTTTCGAGAAGCGATGTGGGCGTATCTGCGTTGAACTCGTAGAATTTTGGTGAGCGTAATCGTGGATCTGGATGTTGGAGCCCTCCAAAGCAGATATCAAACCGACCATAGACGCTGCCCCAGGCTGGCTCACGGTTCCAAGATTCTATGATCTGCTTGTGTGCGAAGGCAGGAATCGCCATCTTTTCCATCATGTCCGGACGGTTGGTGAGGTAGTCAGCCGCCTCGCAGCACATGTCGAACACATCTTTGGTGGCTCTTTCAAGGAGCTGAATCTCTTCCTGAGTGAAGGAGTAATACCGGTCGTCTGGCCAGTAGAGTTCTGACCCACGGGTTCCGATGGCGTTGGCGTAGACAAGGCCCTGACTTTGCACAAGGCGTAAAACGTCTGGCCTCTTCTCTACAGGGATTCGTCGCATTTCGATCTACTCGCGTGCCTGGCTGCACGATGGAGTGCTTAGAAGAGAAGCGGGATAGTCTGGGAATGGGAAGCAGATGTTGTCCCAAAAACGCCTGTAGTATATATTAATTCACCCTTGTCTCGGACTTTGACTATTCTTAATGAGAACAACACCTATAATTTAGGTGAGATAATGCGTAGGTGCTGCAAATTAGGTAGCTATAATACTAATACCCTGAGTGTGGCTTTAGTATATCCACTTTTTAGCGCCACCTGACTGCTACATCATCTAAATATACGGATACATTAGCTAAAAAGCTACTGATACCAATGTAGCCTCTCAGCCACAGGGATAAATTATGCGACATTCGGGGTCGCCGTGCTCATCTCAAGCACGTAAGCAGTCTGATCCATTTTGATAACAGCAAAAATCAGGGTTGTGCCACTCATCTCATCGAAGTGATCAGATAAGCTGATATTATCCCCCCCCTGTCAACCCAAGAGTTACTGTGCACAATAACAGCAATAAACCTTAGCAGACAGTAGATTTAGTGATAACACAACTATCTTAATAAAAAAATAGAGGCAAAAGGGATAGTCTTGGCCCATCCTGACCTAGAGCGCAGCGTAGGAAGAAGGGTAGGTTAGTACTATTTTAACCCTCCCTAGCGGAGCCGTTTTAGAATTAAAAAAATCTAAGAAAACTGGATTTAAACCTGCAGCCTTTAGGATATGAGGGTTATTGCTGTTACTGTGCACAGTACTCTCGGGTTGACAGGGGGGGATACTATTAGCTTGTCTGTAGACTCATCTCATTGACGCAAACTGGTAACCAGTGTCCAGTCTTCATACATTACTGAATGATAAAGATAACAGCAATGAACCAGAAACCTTCCCTTTCAAAGACGTATAGACGTGGCGGCCTTTAGAGGCCCCCTGAAGGGCGGTTTCTTGCTGTCAGAACCTCTGAGTGCGGAAACCGTTGTAGGCCAGGACAAAAATAACAACGACAGTGGCAATTCCGAAGATAACGACTGAATATCCTTCGAGTATTATACTCGCTTCGCTCTTTCGTAGGCAGCTTGCTCTTCATCGTCCATTGTCTTGCACCCCAGCGATACATTCTCAACGCACTCGCCATTCGTGTGGAAAACGAATAAGATCAACGGAGTAATTGTAAGAAAACAAATGATCATCCACATCCTATATATACCAGAAAATGGTGTCGTGTGATCTTGATTCTGGCTCAGGCTATTTGGCAGTGCCCAAATCCAACACTAGGCTATAAGGTCTGTCAATAATCTTGCATAAGCTCACAAGTGGCCCTGCGCATGCCAAATTGTAATCCCAACCCCTTGCGAATTCTCCGCATAAACGTCCTCTTCTGCACGTTATCCAGAACCATCTAGCCACCATAACTCCTAGAGCCGCGGCCGTAATAGCCGATAATATACCAAAGCGCCGCAGAAGAGCGTTGATGGTAATAGAGGTCGTCTTGGTCACAATAATAGTCGTCATCCCGCAAAACCAAACTGCCAGACTTTTGAGGAGCAGGAGCACGTGGTGGCGGAGGGAATCTTGCGTTCTGGCGCATGATCGCGTCTGAGGCGTCGTAAATGTTGATATCCGGCTCGACCTGGGTGCCCGGGGCCATGTCGGTAACGTCCTTTCCGAAAACGAAGAATTGGCCGGAGGTCTCGGCGCCAGCACAGTTCGCGTCGGGGACGACGGTGCGGTTTGTGTCCGCGCAAAATACCTTTGCTTCGGAGGCACGCGCGAGGTACAGCGCCGCGGCAGCTTGGAGCCCTGGCAGGGCAGCGAGCTTGTTTTTCATGGCGGTGACGGTGTTCTGGTGCAAGCTGGAGGATGCGGTCGAAGCGATGAAACTCAGCTTGGAGCCAACATCAAGTAAATGCCCTTTGGAGGGAGACACAGGAGGGGGCAGAACATATTGTTTCAATGATTCTTATTGCACATGAGCACCTTGATGGGTCACTGTGGGGTTGCCGCATGACCCTCAGGAGTTTACTATCATACATGGGGCGTAAGGAAAACTGCGGCATGTTTTGCTGCGCCTCATCTTGCATTTCGGACATGCCCGTGGATCGGTATAACCTGTTGGTATTTCCAAGTTAGTTATAGAACAGGTCGCATTTATGAATAACCTTATTCTATGCTGAAGAGTACCATTGCTTCCTATGAATAGCCAAGGGCCAAGACTTTTAGGCAGGCGACAAAAAAGCCGCACTGACAAATTACAGCGGTATCAGGCTCTAATGACTCAAAGCCAACTTTTAAAAGCGCGGCTTCTTCTTATCACTCGCAAGCCGCGCCCAGGTGTTGAAGTGCCAGAGTACCTACAAATAGCGGGATCCAAAGTCATCTATTCCTTCCGCCTCCACTTTTGTGACTTTGACAGAGGTTCCTTGCCATAGGCTTCACTGACAGTGTTTCTTACGAAAATACATAACGCTGAATGAATGATGTCTAAAATAATTTAGATTTATGTCGTAATATAAGCCGTAATTACGCAGTGGCAATTACAGATCCGCTTTTGTCATCACAGTTATAAGCCCGCTCTACCCTGGACCTCTGTGTGCCTTAATGGCATGCGCATGTGCTATATCAGAGACCCCCACAATTCCAAGGGGCCCAGGTTCAAGCACTGTTTGGGGCAGTTAAAAAACACCACCTATACTTTGGCGAGATGTACGCAATTAGAAGGTAATCAGCAAGAGTGTTCTATATTACCAGCCTTCCGACAAATAGCGTCGTAAACCTGGGGGGGTGTGTTGTGATATAAGCCGTAATTGCGCAGTGGCAATTACGGATCCGCTTTTGTCATCACAATTTATCTGTGTTCCATGCAGAACATGTACCGAATTTGGAGACAAAGGAAAAAGAAATCCATCTCCCAAGAATCTCTACTTTCTTGCGTTACTTCATAGGCCCTGCTCGCTGAAATAATCGTTGCTAACCTCGGCTACTGTAGTATGACTAGTGTCATACAGTGCGTGGCTGCCTATCCCTGTAAAAGACACTCTAATTCGTCCCGTGACTATTCACATGTCTACTATAACAATATAGCTTGTATACCCACCTGACCTGTGAGATGGCCGGAAAATTGATATAACTTCTACTGCGCAATGCTGCACGGCCTTCATCCACCAGCACGGTTGCGTTTCTTCTGTGCCCCATTGTCAGTAGCGGCCCCTCTCTTTTCACGCCATACGCCTGCTGATTGATACCCCAGATGCGTCTGTCCACGATATTGGTAACGGCTGCGTCCCTCGCTCGCACCTTCGGCCAGGATCCAGTCTTCAAACCCTGTGTCGAAACGACTGCTAGCGGTGACTCATTCACTGGGTTCGAGTACGCCAACGCCTGCACCACGTGGGCATGGCTCTCCAGCGACGAGAGCACCGAGGTCAGCATCCAGGCCGATTGCTCGCTAAGGCAAAACTGGCCCAACGATGTGGCCGTGTCATACGTATGCATCCAGATCGCCCAGGATCCGACTGCAGCCGGGGCTGTTCAGAATAAGTGTTTCTGGGCTCCTGATAGCAGCACCAACAACACGGCATGTCAACTCCCAGCTTCCCATTGCCCAGGCGTTGTCAATGCATGGGGCTGGCGCAGATAGTCATCTCCCGAACATAGCTAGCTTGTGGGACCAAACATAACATTGGATAATTCAACCGGAAATCAGAAGCCATCAGACAATGTATGTAACGTACGCTAGGATCCACATAGAACAGCAAGCTGTTATGTCAAAACGCAAGAGGCTGGCAACTAAGCAAGAAGGTGACAAGGTGTTAGCAGTAACAAGACAGAGATAACCCGGCTCCACTTGAGTCAATCAACTGGCATAATTTTGACCGTACAGTAAAAGAGCAAAGCAAAAGAGGAGCAAGAGAAAGCGACAAAGAGAGCGCCCAGCCATATCCAAGCAATTCAACTAGAGAAACTCACATGTAATGAAGTCAGGGTCTGTTCTAATCGCTACATGTAGTTCTGCGTCAAGCCAATATAGACTTAATATACAGGTTAAAAACTATTTCTTGTTTTATGTCTCAAAGACAGTTGGTTTAACAAGTGGCAAGTAGGTATCTTGTTGCAGCTGATGAGCAGCGATCTTACAGTGTCATAGTCGTTCTTGGGTGAGATCATCTAACTGTTGTACAGCTCTCCAAATTCGAACAAAGACTGTAAATCCCTTCGGCTGGAAGTAGGAACTACATATAAATCAGGAGACTGGCTAACACCAAGACCTAAATCATCTCATTTTTCATGCTCGTAGCATTCAACTAGTATCTCAATCACTGTTAGCAAAAATCTTTACAATGACAGATATTACGCCACCCGTATTGGTTACTTTGGCTAGCGGCCATATTAGGGGCGTCGGCCTGCGCGTCGTTGAGCTTTCGCGTGAGTTAGGCGTTCCCGTCCGCGCTATGGTCCGCTTAGTGAATGAGCGTTCCGCGCAACTCCGTTCCCTGGGCGCAGAGGTTGTGGCTGACGACCTCACGAAGATGGAAGAAGTTTTCCCCATCGTCCGAGGCTGCCGACGCATCTACCTCAGTATAAGCCTCTCGCCCCAGTACGTGGAAGTGATGGCTGCGGCTGCGGGGGCAGCTCGCGATCTCGAGCTCATAATCAACATGTCTATCTACAACGTCTCGTTCACGTCGCCTTACGAGGCGACCAAATCGCCGCAGCAGTAACTGCACTAACCGAGCGAGGAGATATTTAATCAGAGTAGCGTGCCTGTTACACACCCCCAGCCAACGCTGTTCTTTCGAATTCCGTTGCTCTGGGATCTCGTGGCCGCATCTATTCAGGACTTGGGCAAGATTCGCCTGCCATTCGGTCGTGGGCGCTTCGCTCCTATTAATAGCAACGATATGGCAGAGGTCACAGCGAAGGTTTCGCTCGATCCCGCCAAGTACAAAGAGCAGATCCTAGAGCTTACCGGTACAAATTCAGAGGATATAAAAGCTATTGCCGGTGAGTACGCCGCTGCACTGTGTCGCCCTGTCGAGTACAAGGATATTCCCCTCTACACATTTCACAACAAAGTGCTTACAAGCCCTGCGCTGGAAATCCACACCCATACCGCTAGGCACCTCCGGACGCTCAGGAAACTGTATGCAGCGAACAAGTTTTATTTCAGTTCGAAGGCGGTTAAGGGGATTTTAGGCCAACCAGCTACAAGTATATACAATGTCATCAAGGATCCTAGCGGCGGTTTCCCCATCGCTTCCAGGACTCCCTGAGCTAGAATTCCTTCCGCCCTCAGCCTGAATTTCCAATGACTGTAAACTGCAATAATAGCTAGTCTATTCTTATTAATATATAGAGACTACTAAAGTTATGTTACTGTACAGCGATGACTTGGATATCTTATTGCTTTCTAGTGTCGATGGCTTGGTCCTGGTCTCTCGTAATGACGATAGGAAGCCTATAGATAATACTGTGAGTGGTTACTAGGTCAGAAGCTACATTCTAAGGGTTGAAAACTAAGTTCTGAAGATTAAAGAGGTAGGTAGACTAACTTAGAAGATTCTAGTGAAGTATCCTAGCGCACATCCTTAGTTGCTAATATAACTAAGGTTTTTAATAAGGATGATAATACTCCATAAATCCTTTACTTAGAAAACAACTAACATAAGGGTAACAGCAAAAGAATCTTCTTTTAGCTTATCTATAACTCTTATAACGTAAATAATAACGTAATTATCAAGTCTGATCTGTAGGTACAGTCAACTAATGGACTCTTGGTTCTGTTTACAAGGGCTTAGTAACAGTTTGCAGCGTCTCTGATGGCAGCAGAACAAGGAGCTTATTCTAGATATTAGGTTCTAAGATGACTTATAAAGAGGTCTCAAGCTGAGACTCAGACTGCAAGATACTGCTAGCATTGTTAGGCAAAGTTTCAATTAGGCAATGATTTTCAAAACAAGAAAGGCCTTCTCCTAAGGTCTCTGTGCAGCGCCGCATTTGGAATAGTTACTAATCTGTTGCAGAATCAAGTGGTAGTTATAGAACACGATTAGCCAAGTTTACAGACAACTAATTGCGTGTCGCATACATGTACTAGTGACGTGGTAGTTATTTATGTCTATCGGACACATCCAACCACTAGTTACTTACCTACAGTACTTGATGGTAGGCAACTGGTATGCGACAACTCCGAGAACGGAGGTCGAGGTAGAATGTATGTACACATTTTCAAGAAGACAGATCTGGACCATTGTTGCCCCTTGTGGGCCAGTAAACAGGTCCTTGCCACGTTACAGGGCTATTGTTATTATAATTACCCTCGATATTTAGCGCCGCCCCGGAGATCTCGGCTCCCGATGAATAAGTTTCATTGAAAGAGTTGCGGTGGGTAGAATGCCAGCATCCTTTTTCTTCTTCTTTCGGAACAAAGCCGACGCCTAAGGATATCTGACAAATACAGCCGCCTCGTCAGCTTTATCTTCCATCCGGGGCGAAGCAACAACCCGATCAATCACCAAACGGCCGGCGGCTCGGCTGAGTGAGGGCGATCATGGCCAGCACATGTCCAAGTCGAACAGCACCTTTTGGTGCCTATTCTGGAAACCCCATAATGATAGCGTACTTCACATCCCCACGCCAAGCTTGCGTAGCCACATCTCGGGAATTAATACATGCGCGGAGCTGGCCTGTTGGCAAGACGCTTGTGCTTTCTCTTATCATCAGGGAAACCCTACATATCCAGAAGTTGCACTCATCGTACATGATCCGATTCAGCAGATCATCAAAGGCCAGTGACTTGGATATTATCGCCAAGTCGCTTTCAATTTTCACCATGGGCCCCCATATCGGCCCGCCAATGTAAACACGGCACATACGTAGGTACTATTGGTTAATTACTACTCGAAGCGTGCCTGGCTCTTCCAGCTAGCCAGAGCCCATCGTCGGAACCCCTTGACCTGTTACTCATGTCGATGAGCTCGCTGTCAAGGAGGCACCACCCCATGCACGTGTAGACAAGGACTCGGAGAGACCCGGCTAGGTAGGCGGAGCAGTTTACTAGTCACGGCCAAGTAAAGAAGGTCTACGTCCTGGGTTTAGCGCTATCGCATACCACCCCCAGCATAGCTTCAGCCGCTTGATGTGCCTAAATGTACCTTTTTCTGTTTGCCATTGATACCTTATTAGAACAAGATTTACGCCAGTCCTTTTAATTGCACTGCAGATATCAAACCTTGAGACAATCCCCCCATACAACTTCAAGGGTGAAATCAAGTATCCGGTCGGTCGCATCATCCAAGGTAAGTCTTTGCTAGTAGCAAATTGGGTAGGACAAGTGGCTGACAGATCCAAGGCAACCACTTTGAGAAATAACCTGCTAAAACTATGACGGCGTTTTTCGAGGATCAGGAAATTCAGAAGCTTCTTATGCTTGAGACAGGTTGGCTGGCGATCGGCCACGTCGATGAATTCGTGCAGTTCCTTCCCTCAAACGATACCGCAGGATTGCCTTGTCTTGTGTCAGAAACGAGGCAGTCGTCCTAGAGTTAAAAGTACTTTTGTTTCAGTCTCTACCTTTCTTTTCTAAGTCTAACCGCAAATAGACCTACTTACACTTAATAATCACACTCATTGATGTAAGCCTTCTCCATTACAAAACGGAATGGGGTAGGTCTCATTAACACACAGTCGAATAATACCAGTGACCCAGTGCAGCTGACCAAAGCTCTGGTCAGTATATAAGTTGATTTCGAAAGGTTCCACATCGGGACTATCGGTGCAGCCACTCAGCAGGGCGCCCTCGAGACGGTGTACCAAGGGTTGACTGACAATGACGCCGTACATATCCCCCGATATTTTATATCTATAAGTGTTCTCCTGTGAGGTTTGCCACTTTGCATCATATGCCAATTGGAGCGTCTCCTTAATGATGCTTATGGTGCGGTGTTTGGCCTTTGTTCTGATTTTGAGTTGGTTTGAGATTGAGTACCCGTCTCCAATGCTTATTTGGGTATTGTTGCTACCGACCGCTGACACAACTGGAGAGATGGCAACGTCCCAGTCTATGAAAGAAGTGTTCGACAGAATCTGGACTTCGCTGCTTTGTTTGCAGCTGCGCCGGGCTTTGTTGTAGGTGCTGGTTGCGCCGCGCAAAACCGAAGGAGCCGGAGCGGCAGCAGGACTGGGGCCTGGTGTGATGGCACCGGCGTGTTTGAGAGCCTCATAGGTCGAAGCCTTCATGACTCCAGAGGAACCGTCACGGCCAAGAACAACAACATCGTCGGCGTCGAGCATGTGGGGATGGCCAGATCCCGCAGAAGCAGCTAAAGCAAGGCTGAGGAGAGAAACAAGGGAGGAGGGCAGCATTCTGCTTTTTCTTGCTGTTTTGTGTGAACGAGTGGCCTGGCGGTTTAGGCTCTGTAAAGACGCATGCTAGGGGTATAGGCTAAAGACGTAATGTTGGGGACAGATACGTAATCAATAAAACAAGCAAACTACTGAACGTATCAAAAGGTAGATAAGGTTTAGACAGGTATCAAAGAAAAAAAAGTTAATATTTAAAGGAAGTCTTAGGACATTATATTATATAAACAGTCAAAGGCGTAGCTAAGTAGAAACAAGCTTTTGGGAGAGCCCTATAAATTTCCTCACCACGCTATCTTATCTACTTAGAAAAGACACTAACCCTAAGCAAAAGTCTGGTTTGAAGTCAGTGGATCCTTAGCCCTTGTAACCTTGTTGGTGTCCCCCTCTTAGTGTCAAAGGAGAAGTCGCGTTAGAGGAACGTGCTAGTTCTTTAGGCTACAAGTCGTCCTAGACCAAGCATGTGCCCCATAACGGCATGATGTGGAGACAGACTCCGTATGTTGGCCGCGCCTACAAAAGAAACTTCTCTATGTTGTGATTAGTTTAGGAGCATTAGATATAGAGTAAACTGTGGCTACTGGCTGTAGTGTGTGTGTGTGTCCTAGTAGAGGATAAGCAATTAGATAATAGAATACACAAGAATAAACTGGCTTAAGGTATGAGTATTGTCTATTAATACGGATAGCAGACTAAACGATGTAGACTCCTACATAGGATAATACAGGGACGAACTATGTATGATCTAAGATGTGTCTTAGCAGCCTAGCCAATAGGAGAACGATCTGTTAAACGTGGCCCTGAACTAGAAGACTATTGCATCTTTGGTATTGTATTGCGTGATCTAATGTACGTAATAAGCGAGTAAAACTGACTGTCACAAAGCGAGTTGTGGCCCCCCTCCCGCCCCCCCCCCCCCCCCACTTTGTTTTTTGTAGTAGGTCACGACTCCTAGTCACGTGCTCTACTGCCTACACAGGAGGCACGTGTGGGTTCTTTCCGTGAACTGCGGCATACAGTTGCCTAGACCTCCCAAAGGTCACCATCTTTCGAAGCCGATCCAAGGCGATTCTAAAGGCAACAGGGTGAGCGCAATATTTGCAGCTAGCCCTAGTGAGAATACGGCGCCACTTGGTGGTTCTTTGGTATTTTAACAAGACAGCGCTTGTTGTCTTGACGCTAGATCAGGCCCCTACTGTGGAAATCGTGGTGTCGCGTCACGGCGATGCCGCTTTCCCCGCCACTGATAATAATCTTTTGGCCTTGGAGTGAACAAGCAGCCCAATCCCCAAACATCCCGACGGGCTAGCCATCGAACATGGCTCCCTGTGCATGCAAGCAGTCTTCGAGCAGGAAAATGCGGCACTTTTAATACATGACGGCCAAAATGACTGACATGTTGCAGGGGATGCCCAATATGTGTGTGTTCACGACCGCTTTCGTGCTCAATGTCAAAGCTCTCCCCAACGCACCAAAGAACGTGTTTTCATGACAGTCAATGTCAACAAAGACGGGACGTACACTATGCCAAAATGCATCGCTGGTAAAGTGGGTTGCGTGGAACTCATACACAAGGAAAATAACCTATAGCCACATTAGCCCTGGTTTCATTGATCATGGCTTAGGGATGTACCTTATTGCCCCGCTGTAGCCTACATAAAAATGAAACGCATTTAAAGCGTAGGCAGCAGTAGAATGCCAGTGTAATTTAGTTAGCGGCCAGTAATTTAAGCCTCTTTTAGAAGGCATAGCTACTACTACTACTGCCTACGTCTATAACTTATACAAAAAACGCCCTTTTTACTATAAATCTACTATTAGGTTTATAAACTTATTACTAAACAAGGCGTTAAAGTAGCTAGTTAGTAATAAGACTATAAGGGTTAAATAAAGGGATAAGTTTTATATACTATATAATAGGTTATATAAACTAGAAGTATTATAATACTTTTATTAATAGGTAGCTAACTTAAGAGCAATTATACAGAGGTACTATACTTTCTACTAATTTAAAGTAGGGCTATAGTTTAGGTAAAAATTCAGGAGAATTATTCTAAGCTTACCCTACTGTTATACTATTAAAGTGCATAGATACAGCAGTTAATTACAATAATATCCCTAGTTAATTAGACATATATTAATAATGTATTTATTAGTAAGTTTACTATAATTACTACCTAGAATTTATAGCCTTTAACTAATATATTTATTGTCTAAATTACTACTTTAGAGTAAAGAAATCTATTTATTTAATAATAGTAATATTTAACTTACTCTTATATATAGCTAATTACTATATATTAATATACCCTCTTAGATTAAAGCTATTTATAGATTTAATTTACTAATTTATAGCTAATTAGTTTTTATTATTACTTAAAAACCTTAACCTTAACTACTTTTACTTACTATATAGATATTAATTACTTATTAAATAAATAACTAAAACTAAAGTATATATAGTTAAGTAGTATTACCTTTCTCTTAATAATATAGTATAAGATAGTAACTTATACTAGAGCTCTTAGGTTTAATCTTAGATAAAAGTAAAAAGACTTAATAATAGTTATATTTATAAAGCCTATTACCTTTATTAATTAATTAGTTATAAGTTTACCTAAAGTTATATTAGTATAAAATATAGTAACTACCTAGAGCTATAATAATATTAAAATATAGTATAAGTAGTAGTTAATTTACCTAGTAAGCTAGTCCTTTTATTTTACTAAATATAGATTATAAAGTATAAAGTATAATAGCTCTAGAGTTATTATTTCCTTAAACCTTTTTACTAATATAGTTTATTCTTTAGTAAGTTAAAGTTTTATTATTTTAAATAATTATATATTAACTTTTCTAGTTAGTTTTAGTATTATTTTATAGCCTTACTTAAAGTAAGTATAATAGTAGAATTACTAACTATAAAAGTTATATAGTTATTAAGTTATTTATAGTTAAATAGTTAGTAATATATATAAAGTTTAAATATATATAAGATAATAGCTATAGATACTTAACTAGGTAAAACTTAATAGTAGGTATTAGTATAGTATAAGACTTAAGCTTATAGAGCCTAAATAATAGAGGCTTTACTACTAGAAAACTAAATAGTAAGGTAAAGCACTAGAGGCTTAGTAACCTATTACTAAGACCTATAGCTATTACTATAAATCCTATTATAATTATATTCTTCTCTTTTAGACTTTATCCTAAAGTTATTATATAATACTTTTTAAAGAAATAATAATAATATATAACTATAGTCCTTTCTTTATTTAAAATAGCCTTATAGACTTTTTTTATTACTTTTACTAAAAAGCTTTATTATTTTAAAATATAGTAGCCTTATTATTATTTTTTAGTTAAGTATACTCTATATTTTTATTTAGTAATATATTAGTAAATAGTTACTAGGTTATAAGTTATTAAATAAAATAGTTATATAGAAGTAAATATAAGATAGCTAGTTACCTAGCTTATTTTTTTTTACTTAGTAGTTACTTAAGTAAAAAGTTTTCTTTTACTAGTCTTTTATTTAATTTTTTTTTACTTAGTAACCTTTTAGTAAATTTTTATTATTATAAATCTATAATTTTTTACTATTATAATATCTTATAAGCTTAATTCTTTTTATTTTTAACTTTATTTTCTTATTTATATTTCTCTTTTTTTTTACTAAGCCTTTTATTATAAGATAAGTGCTTTATATAGTAAATAAATAAGTAGGATATAGGATTACCTTATTAGTATATATTTAGGTATATACCTAAGGGTATATATCCTATTACCTATTACCTTTTATAAAGAGAAGTAACCTTAATAGATAACCTACACTTATACCTAGCTCTTGTCTTATATTAATTATTTAGCTCCTTATTATTACTTATCTTATTTTACTACTTTACTATTATACTTTACTTTTATACTATATTACTTTATATTACTTATTATAGCCTTACTTCTCTTATTAGATCTATAATAGCTAGTAAAAAGACTATATTATCTTTACTAACTAATTACTTAAGATATTAGTTATCTTTTATATATAGATAGTTATTAAAATAAAGTATAATCTTTATAAAGGTTTTAAGGATCTAAAAAGTAATACTTTTTATATTTATTACTTTTTTAGTATATATTATAATATCTTTAGCTTTATTTATATTACTTATTAGAATATTAATACTAATGATTATATAACACCTAGTTAGTTAACTATAAATAGTTTATAATTTAAGGTTAAAGGGCATAGACTGGTTATTTAGCCCTTAGTTAAGCTAAGAGGGGATTATACTTTTTGTTAGCTAGAATAACTTAAGTTATACTTAAGCAGTATATAACTACTTTATATAACAATAGTAAAGTAGACCTATTAAGTCACCTAATAAGAAGTTAATTTACCCCTATATTTTACTAAGTATATATATATATAAAGCCTATTTAACACTAATTAGTAGTTATATAGTAATTATAGATTAGTAAAAGTAAAGAGTTAAGCTATATTATATAAAGAGTTAGTTTATATAGTGTCTAACTACAGAAGGGCTAAAGAACTACTCCTTGTTATAACCTTTTATACTAAGATAAGTTATAATTTATATAAAGATCTAGTTTATATAGTGCCTAACTACAGGAGGGCTAAAGAACTACTCTTTAGGATAACTACTTATACTACTTTCCTTTATATATAATAGAATAAGGAAGACTATAACCTTCTTATATATATACAAGAAGTAAGTAGTATACTACTATAAGTATATTACCTTTATTAACTAGACGTTATATAATTTAAAATAACTACTAATATATTAATATAGAACACCTAGAGCTAGGAGGAGGAACCTACTTAAGAAGAATATATCTTTATATATAAAGATATATTAGAGGGCAATAGTATTATAATTATAATATAAAGATCTTAAATACTACCTTAATACTAGACTAAACATTAAGACCTTACTAATAACCTATCTTAGAAAAAATTATAATATATCTAGTGTACAAGATATACTAGATTATCTATATAAATCTAGACTAACACTAACTTAAGGGAATAATTATAATTAACTTTAAGGACTAGACAGCTAACTACTAGAAGTATATATATTATATATACTTTAGGGAGTTTATTAGGTAAATTATAAAAAGAGGCATCTTTATTAACACTAAGATAAAGCCTAAAAATAAGCAAGTAGTTAACCTTATATAATAACTCTAAGAGTAATATTAGAAGAAGTCTAGTAGTTATATAATAAATACACTAATAACTACTATTAGAGATCCTTAAGCTACTATATAATAAGACCTAGCTAAGACACTAATAGAGTTAATTAAACTCTAGGATACACTAGTAGCTTAAGGGACTAGAAAGCCTATTATATAAATAACCTTATATAGAGTATAACTTACCTAGGAAGTAGAAAGTTTCCTAAGATCTTAAAGCTAAACTATACCTATACCCTAGAAAGATATCTATAACCTTTTACTAAAGTAAATAATTAATAATAGACTATATAAACCTTATATAATCTTTGTCTTCTAAAAAGGGTAAAGAAAAAGAAAAACTATATAGGAAAGCTATATAATATACTCTATAATAAGGCTAAAGTGTTTATTAGTTTCTACTACTATCTCTAGATTATAGAAGACTAATACTATACTATTTTTCTAGACATCTTGTCTAATTATATAGAGGAGTTTTACCTTTATTATATTAGACCTATATAAAGGTAGAATAAGATATATACTATACTAAATATACACTTTAACACTAGCGTTAACTATAGTCTTTATTAGACTAATTAGACTACTATATCCTTTATATAAGTTAAATAAGAGAATCTAGATAAACACTAATAGAAGTACTAGAAGTATTACTAGACAAGTTACCTCTTATATAATAAGCACTTAGTTTAGGTTTCTAAGGGAAATTATACTTTATATATAAGTTACCTAGGCTTACTAAGGTGTTCTAGAGCTAAAGACTACTCTTAGTAATCTTAAGGTATATTATTTATATAAAGAGTTCTTCTCTAATCTTAGGGCTTCTCTATAAGTTACCTTAGACAAGAGGACTACTTATATAATATTAACTTTATAGACTAAAGGTATACTTTAAACTATAAGGATAACTATAATAGAGACCTTTATATAATTAACTACCTTACTAATCCTTTAATAGAAGAGAAAAGATAGACTATTTTAACTAAGACCTTTTTATATAAATAACCTAAGAAGTGTTTTATATAAAAAGAAAAATACTAGTTAACTAACTATATAAAGAAGAATATAATTATACAAAGACTTAATACCTTTAGGTATATAATACACTTGCCTAGACCTATATAAAGACTTTATAGCCTATCTCCTTAAAGTAGAAGGAAAAGCCTTATAAAGAGAAAAGAAGAATAATAACTTATATAATAAAGAATAATTCTTAGATAACTAAGAAGTCTCTTAGTATTTACTAACTTTAGCTTTCTTTTATTATATAATAGTAAAGATATATTCTTAGCTCTAAAGACTATTAAAGTAAGTTAATTCTTGCTTAAGGACCTTATTATATAATATACTAGGAGAACTATAGGATACTAGAGTAGCTAAGTTTTTAACTATAGAAAGCCCTAGGTACTAGTGTACTTAAGAAAACCTATATATAAAGATCTCTTAGAACCTAGGTTCT